TTTTCACTATTTAGTGCAAAGAAGTGTTAAAAATAGCTTACATTTTGTCCCTTAATGTGTGAGTTTTGATTGTTTTTGTAGTATTGATTATAAATTTGCTTGTTTAATATTAATCTCTTGAGCCAGTCGGGCATTTCCTTTTTAATGGGACCCCTATAGTGGAAGTTCAATACAATTACTGTCATTATTATGGATACGGATGTAATGCCCATCACTGCTGTCAGATAAACGCCTGCAAACATAACATGAGATTTGCATTACAATGAGTGCACTTTCAATAATCAATGTTATGCATCATTGATATAAATGTCTCATTTAATTCCATTAACTTTAATGAGACTTAATTGCTATTTAATTGTAAACAATGCTATAATAGTTTTGTATTAATTGCCACAACATGTATTGCAAAGTCTATTCCAATATTATCCCAGTGCTAGTGTTTATTTAGAGTTCTATTGATAATACAAATTATACTAACACAAGATATACAATTACAGAATATATAACGTGAGCATTTTATATGAATCGAATCATCTTATAATTAGTGTACTGTATATAAGTATAATTAGTGCATGATAACTAATGATGGGAGTGGTGAAAAATTCTACCTGAAAATAAATTTCAATAAATTTCACCACCACGTGACACATCAAAGGAAAAATGTGGGATCAGATGAATATAAAAAAGTTAAATTTTTAAAAATTATTGTAATTCTTTAAATTCTTATTATATTTAAAGTGATATTTTAAAATTATAGCTAATGGATGTGATTTTACTAATAATAATAGTATTTAATCATTTTATTTTGAATTTTAATCACATATTAAAGAAAAAAATAAATTTCACCAAAAAGTTAAATATTTCACAGAAATCTTTCAAGAAAAATAAATTTCATTGAAATTTTCAACCTTATTGATGACATTTAAAAATGAAAATGTAATGCCTGATTGTGGGATAGTGTGTTTGTTTGATGGAATGCCTACCGAGCAGTGGAATGGATTCACTGGTTTCGGGCAGTTTCTCAGAGATGGCTAACATGAAGACAGAGAAGGCCAGTAAGACTGTCACTCCCAGTGCTATCTTCTCCCCGGAATCGGGTGGCAGACAGAAGACGAGTAGAGTGAGGATCGACATCATCATACACGGGAGGATCACGTTATACATGTAGTATAGGATCTTACGACGAATGCGAACAGTTATGGTGACGTCCGGGAAGGGCTCACTACAGCACGAGTAGTAGACAACATTCCGCACCAAATGAGCCTCTATTAGATCCCACTCCCCGTTCGGCACATAGTTTGTCAGATCCACGTCAGCCGTCCGGTTCAACACATCCACCTATTGGTCAGTTTTGGTTACATTCCCCATGTTTTACGTTATGATAAATGTATAGTTATTATCAAACTGTGTTAGTTATGCTTATAATTGTCAATGATCAATTAACGTCATTTCTATTATATATTTATGACCATTATGAACCACAGTATGATTAGAAAATAAAACTTTTGCTTATAATCTAAGATTGATTTTAGTACATTCTAGTGCAAGCTTTATTTTTTAATCGTACCTTTGGTTCAAAAATGATACATTTATAGTAGTCTTCAATGGTACTGAAGAGTATTTTTTTAATTATCATTACCTTGATTTGAATTTTAATCAGATTAAAAATAATAAATAATCAGGCTATAAATTCAATCAAGTTTGAAATAAAATATATGAGTTTTGTAAATATATTTATAAAAATTACTTAACGTAATATGAAAAAATAAAAATAAATCCTAATCGAAACATTAAAAGCAGTATTTACTTATTCAAACTTGTACAACTTTTCGTACATGATTTAAATAATGAGAATAAGTCTTAATCAAATCTACAATAATACTACAATTAAAAGTAATAATTAACAAATCTATGGAATTGGAAAAACGTGTACATTTTCAAATAAAACTTAATCTAGTTGACATACAGTATAACCTCTGGTTAAATTGAATTTTATACTAATTTTAACTTTATACTCATACTGAAGTCTATACTAATTATTAGCACATTTTAATGAAATGTATATTATTCAGAAATATACATGCTGTGTGTGTGTGTGTGTGTGTGTGAGAGAGAGAGA